GATCTTTATCAAATATTTAATTACTATAAAGACTGAATATATATATCTAGAGTTTAAGACTGAGAACTACATATTTTTTGACTGTCTGCTCACTGAAGTGAGTAAGATATGAGCATCATTCATTAGAAACTGAATGAATCAGATTGATAAGAATGATAGTCAATCTCTTGAAGCTAACTTCATGAGTCTTTGTTAAGATATTCTACTATATCTCTCTGCAATGAGAGAAGTTCTGAAGAATGTGATAATGAATACAGCTGATAACATGAGAAACTCAGACAATGAAAAAAGCAATAATGAGAGTACAGACTTTAAATCAGAATATAGAGAAAGTGTAATAAGAATCTACTATTACTGTGACAGAGTTAATCATATTCAGAATGATTATTGAAAGAAATATTCTGAGAAATGTTCTATTAATTCTTATACTCTCAGGAAAGATAGAGACAAGAATGATATCAATACTGAAACTGATTCTATTCACAGTATTATGAAACAAATATTCTGTTTAAGAGATGAGATTTATTCAATTAATAACTTGATAAAGAATACTTGAATATTAAACTCTGAATCAGATACTCATATCACATCTTATAGAGATCTTGTTATGAAGAAAAAGAAGAATGATAAGTTATCATTGATAATGATGAATGAAATCAAAGTCTCTGTTATAATAGTTAAGAATGCAAGCATATCAGTTGAAGAATCAAATATGATATTAAATAGTATTCACTATGTCCTGAATTTAAAAGTTAATCTTATCAGTCTAGGCAAGCTTGTATGACAAGGCTACATCTTTAAGTAATTAATATATAAGAAAAATCATGTCATATTACTTCTGTCTTCTGACAGAATGTTCTCTTTTACTGTGAGATTAAATGATAGAGATATCTATGAGTTGAAGAAGCTGATCATATACAGAGATCTGATTCATTTTCCTGTATCTGATGATAGTTTCACACCTGCGAACTTCATGTGAATAATAGATAATGATGTGATATTGACATTATCTGAGAGAAATGATATAAAGATTGTGAAACATACAATGATAGAATAACATCAGAAACTCAGACATCTTAATCTGATAAATATCATTAAAATGACAGCAGATTCATATCTAGAAATGAGAATTCTTGAACAATAGACTCTATTATTTTGCAAGGTCTGTCTGCAAGTCAAGATGATATGTTCAATCTTTCAATCTATAATGAGAGTTATTAAGTCAGTGATGAGATTCTTCATTGATCTGATAGAAGAAGGAAAACTACTCTTTGATAAGAAAGACATACTCTCTAGAGAGAGTGTGAGCTACTAGTTAGAAATTACTGACAATGGTATATACTATTAATAAGTAATTTTAATGATATCAAAAGAGAAATTAATAGCAAAGCTGATGAATTTCATAACAGATATAGAGATAACTATACAATGAAGAATTGAGATTCTTCATTGAGATAAAGAAAAAGAATTTACAAGTCAGAATCTTAAGATCTATTATCAGATTAAAGAAATTATATATAAGATAATCACTTCTGATACATTATAATTCAACAGTTCTGTGAAACACATCAATTGTATTATTACTGAAAAGAAAAGAAGTCTACTATTTAATAGTGACTCAGAAAGAGATCTTTGAGAAGAGTCAATGCAAGCTGCAATTATGATGATCAATACATTTTCAATATCAATCAAGATATTCAAATGTACTGATGAGTCTCTGCTTACACCTTTTAAGGCATGAACTGAGGTACAACTCTCAGTTCACTGAATATATAGATGAGAATGTAAGATCTACAAGAAGGATTTAAAAGTGTCTAATAAACTTAAGAACAGAATAGATAGCAGAGAATGATTACTAGTTAGTTATCAGAGACTACATTAATATTACCTATGAAATTCTGTAAGATGATGCCTGGAAATTGTGTGAGATGTCATTTTTGATGAGAATTTTGACATAAAATCAACTGAATCTGTCAATGTAATCAAAGAGTCTATTGACTTTTCAGAAGAACTTGATATTCTGAATATTAATAAAGAGTGATAATACTGCTTATTGAGATATCTAGCTAAGAAGAAGCCAGATATTTTGAAGATAATTGTCAATGAGAATCTGAAAAATGTCATTGATTCAGTCTATCTCTTGAATAATAATATGCAGCTTATCAATGATGAGTAGACTGGCCGCTGAGACTATGAATTTCACATTTGGTCCCATTTGATCTGATCTCATACATTTCTTGGCGTGAATCCCGCTGGGACTAGCCATCAAAAAAAACATGCAAAGTGACTATATATCAGATCTTAAATGAAATCATGACTTGAAAAAAATGAGAAAGTGATTCATTTGATTTCATTTAGTCCCATTCTTGATATAAAGTTACTATTTTTAGACATTTTAAGGTTTTTTTTAGACTATTTTTAATTTTTTAAAAAGTAACACTTTTTGATAACACTCAAATGAGATTTAAAGTCATTTAAAGCAACAAAAATAATTTAAATTGAGAAGTGGAAATCATGGTCCCATTTGGAAAATGTGACAAGAGTAGACAGTAAGTCTCACTGGGACAGTATGGAACTACTATCTAATGTTAAAACCATGTAATGGGATCAGTCGAATTGGTAATGAGACTATCAAAAAATCTGGTCCTGGTTCCAGACACGGTCACACGGTCAGTCTAGCAGTGATATCAGAACTTATATTATATAGCTTATTTACTATATCAACTGTCAATGAATGAAAAGTTAAATACATTGATTATATATCAACATTCTTGAATAAAATTCTCTTATTAAATGAGATTGTCTATATACAACTGTCAACAGGTGTGAGACATAGTAGAGACAATTTAGTGAGACTACTTTAACAGAGCTTATATGAAATGAAACAAGTGATAAGAATATAATACTTTCTTACAACAGAACATCTTATTACATAGAGATTTAAGATATTATAATATGATGACAGTTTTCTATATCACTCTATTTAAAAGATATATTTAATACTACATGTTGATGACTGCTGAATAACAGGTTCTTAAGAGCAGCAACTGAATTGAATATTAATAAAGATAGCTAAGTAGTTTGAGACAAAGAGTGTTAATGAGAATAAGTCATATCTGAGAATGAAAGTCAATCACCTGAAAAATGAAGATATGACGGTGACACAGAGTCACTATATAGAGAAGATTCTTGAGAATTTTAAACTAAATAAGATGAATTCAGTCAGTATATTAATAACTGCTGAAATATATATTGAATTCTCATCTGATGAGAGTAGTAATCTAGATAATAATTTTACAGCTACATAGTATTAACAAGGATTAGAATTCTTATAATATCTAATGTTAAGTAGCAGATTAGATCCGACATTCATAGTTAACTATCTTTCAAGATATAACTCATAGTCATATAAGAGATGTTAATTAGCATTGAAATATATTCTATGATATATCAAGAAGATTAAGAACTATGATATCTTATATAAGAAAGAGAGTAACAACTTGAGTTCTGTTATATATTGTAATTCAAATTGAGTAGAAGTGAATTCTTAATACAGATTAACTACAGACTATATCATATTCATACATGAATCATCAATATTATGACAATCACAGAGATAAATATCTATTATTAAATCAATTACAGAGACTGAATACATTGCAGCTAGTAAAGCAGCTTGTGAGATTATCTGACTGAGTGATATATTATATAATACTGAATTAGTAAATGAAAAAGCAAAGATCTATTCAAGACTATGAGTTGATAATAAGAGTGCAATTGATCTAGTAAAAGAAGAATCTTTAACACATTAATCACATTATATTGAGATAAGATATTATATTCTTCAAGATCTAGTTGAAAAAGAATATATTATTATAAAACACATTGATTCTACAGTTAATATAGCTGATAATCTTATCAAGTCATTGACAAGACCAGCATTTGAGGAATTTGTTGAGAAGATTAGCTTAAAGAAGATCAAGAGAGACTAGAGTAATAATAATACATTGTATTATTGAATACTTTGTATATATATTGATTTTTACAGTTATTACTGTACAGATACTTTTTCTAATAAAGAAATCAGAGTCTGATTGATGTAATTAATTATTATTATGTTTTTGAAAGAATTGAGATAAGATGAGTGAAATGATGACAGTGCAATTAGTAGAGTGTTATAGTAAGAAGAGATGTTGATGATTACTACATCTACTCTAATCACGTGTCACTCAACTTATATATAGATTCATCTTAGATAGATTATATATAGATAACAATGTTATTCTTTAACAGAATGTCAGGTCACATGATCTGGCTTACTAATCCTTTCATTATATAACTTCTCACAAGCTAGCAATCTTTTCAATCAAGCAAGCTTTACACCTTTCACAAAACACTCTTGAACTGAGTTTTTAAATATGATTTTCAAAAATATTTATTAATTGAATAGAAACTTTTTTAAATTATAACTTCTTTAAACGTTCAAACGGTGAGCCGAAGGCCGGATGCCGACTAGCTCGACGGCTGCTTTAGGCCGGTGATTGCTCAATAAGTTACTGCCATGCTTCATGCACAGTGGACGCCGTTCTGCGCGCTGCAAAGCTCAATTCCCACACCTCAGCTCTCAGGTACAGGAAAATGAATCCCTGCTACCCGCTCTCAGAATGGGCGCTTGCATTCTCCTTTTTCAACTCTCACTCATTCTTCACTCATCTTGAGCCCGCTGATCAGATATGGCCCTCTCAGAGCTGACTATAAAGTCATGGCTTTCTTCTCTCCAGCGGATGATCTGTTCACCCTCAGAATTCCAGCTTTTCTTCCCATTGAAGCTTCTCCGCCCAACAACCCTCACTGCTCCCCAAGCTGTCAAGTCACACTTGCTCACTCTTATATTTCTCTCATCACAATCAATGAGCTTTCTGTTCCTTCAATCATTCATTGCTGACTTCTTCATCTCTATCACTTTCTGTTCCCTTCTCTGGTTCTGTGTGGGATGAAGAATGGCTCATCAACACTGCATATCATCGCCTGTTGACAGTGACAGCGCGGAAGACATGATGAATGTGAATGATAATGATGATGACAATGATGATAGTGATGGCATAGCCTCTGATTCCAGCAGAGAGATCAATCTGACAGACTCAGCTAATTACAGAAAAGACAGCAAGAATGATATCAGCAATCTGACTGACCTACTGACAGGTGATAAGCATCTTTCAGAATATTATATAAATATAATGACTGACTCAGATGAATTCTTACTTCAATACAATAAATATGTGTCTAACTCTCAAAAGCTGCTTGACTGTATTAAGCAGGAATAGTTCAAGTAAGTGTCTGAACTCTTCTCACTCTGTCATTGCTGCAATATCTTTCTAGTTTCTCATATACTATACAGATTCTGTGCCTGCATCAAGCTGAATCTCAAGAAGACATATTAGTGAATAAATGTAAAGAAGTTATACACTTTCTTCAGCTGAATACTGAATCAATGTCATGACAAGACTGAAAGATAATATCAGAGACTCAAATATCAGAGCTCTCTAAAGATGTACTGAAAGATCTTCTATCTAATTTACAAGAGAAAAATATAGAAGAGTAACTGAGAGATATCACTGAGAGTGATTAAAAATATATACAACTGTCTCTTTTTATATTTATCTCAGTATCTGAACTCTTATCTGATGACTGAATCATTTTAGAGTACTGATTTAAAGTCTACTTATATTTAAGATAATTTTAAAACTGATATAACTATACTATTTTAAGAAGAAATACTGAAAGAAGTTAGTTATTTATTTAAATAATCTTATTAAGATTATTAAGATAACTGTTATAATTATTAAAAAGAAGTTCAGTTATAACTGATAATAAATTCTACTTTATCTATTCTTTTAATTAACTGAGTTCTTAGTTAATTAACTGTAAATATTACTGAATCTGTATTATTAATATATTAAAATTACTCTTTTGAAAAACTCTGATAGTAAGCTTAATAACATTCTAATTAAGTTTACTGTTAAATTTATTAAAATATTTTTTAAAGAGAAAAAGAAGTAAATGAATATATTTACTTTAATCTATATTAATAAACTATAACTGATTTTCTATAAATTTAAAATTATATTTATAATTTTAAAGATTATTTTTAATCTATCTTTAATTCTCAGCTTTCATATTACTTTTTTTAAGCTTTTATTCTTTAATTATATATTAATCTCTTTTAATAATAAAAGAGTTCTTACTTTAATATAATAACTTATTAAATTAAAGATATTAGAAAATATTTATTAATTTAAGCTTTATTTTAACTTAGCTTTAAATAATATCTCAGTGTTTTGAAAGTTTAAGTAAATACTGAAAGTAATTAAAATATCTATTATTAATATACTAATATATAGTATTATTAAACTCTGAATTAGATAAATTAAAAAGATATCTGTATTTTATAATATTATTTAATTATACAGTTTATAGTATAATACTGATAAGATATTAAATAATAGTAATAAGACTTAATTAAAGAGAAGACTTTAACTTTTAATCTTTAATTACTTATTATTTTCTATTATACAAAGTATATTAGTAAAGGTATTTACAGTTTGATTTTTCAGTACTTAAACTCTTATATATTTCTTAAATACTATCTTTATAGAAAGATAAATAAAAATGTTTATATTACTATTCAGAGTCTGAACTTATAAAAATATATTATATATATAATATATTAAATACTTTACTTTATTAATATATACTAACTGTAGGAACTAATTATAACTCAGTTAAAATTAGTTAATTAACAGCTTTATATTTAGAAACTTATTTAGAAATGTAATCTGCTCAGCAGATATCTTGAATAATTTCTTAAAAAGTTATAAGAAATCTCACTTCTTATAAATCCTTTACCTCTATTTCTATCTCTTGTATAATTAATAGAGTTAGTGACTCTTGACTATATATAACTTATATAGACTGAAGTTTGTAATAACTATTTATAACTCAGCTTAAATACTATTATATATTTAATCTCTATATTTATCTTTCTACTGTGAATACTTCTAGTAATTATCAGTATATATTATATCAAGCTGTGAATCACTGAATAATCATCTATAAGTACTTATTCTTACATTTCAAGCTGTATTAGTCAGTAACTGTTTATTATAACTGAAAGAATTAGAAAGCTATACACTTTAATCTCTGTAAACTCTACTATAGATATTCAGAAGCAGTTATCTGAATTATAAAAAATCTCTATAAAAGAAGTTTCAGAGAACTTATTAATTACTTATAAAACATTATTCTTTATATTTATAACAGAGAAACTCTCTGAACTTATAAATAAATTAATCTTAGTAAAGAATATTTTCAAGTATTTTCTATAAAATTAAGCTATTTTTTTATAAGAAATACTTACTGTCTATAAACACTCTTAAACTAAGTCTCTAAATATAATCTTCAGAGATATCTATGAACTGAAAAGAAACTTTCTTTAACTATAACTACTTAAAACTATCTTCTGAATTATAATTTATAAAAGTTTTTACAAGTTTATCTTTGAAATTAACTTATAAGTCTGACTATGTGATATAAAAGATGAAGAAGCTATTATCTATATAATAACAGATCTATATTATACTGAAGTTAAGAATTAACTGAATTATTTAAAGAATAATTATAAGAGATTCTGTTAATCAGTTCTTAAAATCTATTTAAGAAATAAATTAAAAGACTTTATAAGCTGAATAGAGAATATCTGAGCTGTAATTATTATTATTATTATTCTTCTATTATAGATGTATACAGTCAGAGACTATAATATCTATCTGAAAACTTATAGTTCTCAGAGTTTTCCTAGTATCTGTAAGGCTAATTATTATACATTTATCAGTTTCAGATATACAAAATTAGAAAATTACAGCTCAGAATGTAAAAACCTCTTATAAATTACAGTATTTTTAATATCTTCTAATACTTTTAAGATTATTTAGAAAGTAACATGATATAAAAAAAGAAACAAAGTCTTAAAGACAGACACAGTAGATAGAAAAGAAAAGATAATATTAAAATAAACATGTTTTAAAGAGAGTGTATAGCTGTTTTAACAGACTATATCTGATTAATTTTCATCTTTTCATATTCAGATAGTTCTGAATTCAGTTATTTTTTTATAGCTATTTAAGTTTCTGATAGAAAATCTATTAGATATTTAATTTCTATCTCAGTTAAGAATAAGAATCTTATATTTATTTAAAATATATTATACTTCTCTTTCAATCTGACTCTGAGATCAATGCATAATACACAGTGTATTACAATATACTCAGAATTCTCAGTTGAATTGCAGAATAAGCATTTTATTAAATTAAATCTGTTACTAAATCTTTGAATAATGTAAGAAGTCTACGCTGAATAGATTGATATAATATTTATAGATCTTATATAACAAAGTGAAAAATATTAGAGAAGGAAAAAAGAGAAAGTGCAGAAATCAGCAATCAGAGTGAATATTTATACATGTACATGATAAAGCTTCAGAGTGAAAGAATAGAGATTCTGTATATATAGTAAAGCTTCAGAATGAAAGAATAGAAATTTCATGAATTTTTCAGCTAAGAATTAACAACTGAGAATCAGAGCTTTCAGTGAAATCTATAAAGTGTAATGAAATAGTCTATATAATTGATCAGGCGCAGTTCATCATATTAGTTCTCTCTTTTCAGAGATGAGATTGTGTATAGTTCTCATTGATCAAGAGTTACAATTTCAGATAATATGAAGCTCAGAGTTCAGATCAGATAATTATAGTTAACTTATTTTACAAGATATTATCAGCTACAGCTGTGAGATCTCTTATTAAGAATATCTTCAATATCTTGCTTAAGTTCATTATCTTCTTCCATGATCTCTGATGACTGTCAGTCAGAAGTCAGTTAAGAAGAAAATGAATCAATGATAGTGCAGTGAAGTAAGCTTACATAAAAGACATTATGAATTTCTGATAATATGTTAAAATAGTAGTTATAACTGTCTAGAGATTCTATCACTTTATACTTAATATAGTAGTAATTTAATATATGAGATAAGTGTGTGATTTATATATTCTTAAGATTCAATCACATCAGATCTTTTATTATATATTACTTAGTAAGATCTCAGTAAATATTAATCTGATTCTCTTAATCTTATTTAATACTTATCATGAAGACTTCTGCTTAGTCACAGATATCTTAAAGCTTTATTACTATATTATCAGTGATCTGAATCAGACTGTGAGAATTTAGTGTGAAATGTGTAATCTCTAAAAGATTCAACATCTTCATGTAATAACTGTGTATAAGAAAGAACAGGCTTATATCTATTAAAACAGTATCTTAATCATTGATAGTAATCTCTGTATATAGAAGAAGATTATATCAATTATTCTATGAATAATTACAGAACTTATAAAGATAGTTTTTTACAGTCTGAATTATTCATTCTGATGTATTATTAGTCTCAGAGTGATAGAAAGTTAATAAATAACATGTAATCTTGAGAACTTGACAGATTCTTGTTCAGAGAGTGCTTATAAATTGATAGTCTTAATTAAATACTATAGATCTCAGTAAGTTATACATCTGATAGAATAAACTCTATAGAAAGACTTCAGAGACTTACTCAGTATTCATCTTATTATAAGACTTTAATATTACATCTTTACTCAATCAGTCAATGAGAATCAGAATATTCTTATAATTCTTACTCTCAGAGAGATTAACAGTAAAGTTAATTACTATATCTTATCAGATTCTATCAGAGATATTAAGTGATTTCAGTAGATCTTTTCTACAGTTCTTTTATAAGATGATAGAAGAATAAGAATTATATTTTCAGATAAAGCATCTGATACTGTTTAATATCTCAGATCAGTAGAATTCTTGAGAGTTCATTCAGTACAGTTGTTCATAACTCAGATAATCAGTTATATATGAATTATGCATCTCTTGTATTATCTGAGTGTATAAGAGTTCAGAGTGAGAAACTCAGCATTATTCACAGAATTACAAAGTATTATTATCATTGATTGAGTATTCTGAGATGTCAGTTCTTATACATAGTTCTGAGAGAAATCAGAGTGCTTCTTAACATACTGCTTCAGTAAGTACTTAGAGAAGTTTATCAGTTTAAGCTGTTATATATCACAATTCATTCAGTGTAGATTCAGAAGAAGTTAAGATATCAGTAATAGTTCAGAGAGAAGATATTCTAATTAGAGAAGTGTGTATAGTATTATGAATTGTTTTATCTTAATTAACTAATATCTTCTGATTTAAGAGTCAGT